ACTACTACTACTACTAGTACTGGTAAGTTCACCACTGCAGCTGCTCTGCTTCTGCTGTGACGTGCCTGCGGCCTCTCCCTGCGGCTGCTGCCGCTCCTACCACCATCAAGATCAACTTGGGGCGGTTGCCGCGGGGGCAGCTGGAAGCTCGTGGGCTCGCTGCCCAGAACCTTGGCAGTCTCATCGCTCCCTGTGTTTGGGCTGTGAGACACTGGGCTTCTGAAAAAACAGCATGGAACGACTGACTAGTGTTACTGCTGCTACACTGCAGGCAATATTCCGCTTCTTACTATGGTGTTTGTCGCTGAAATACGATCGATTACTATAGTTCTCACTTTTCCAATGGCATTCTCTTCCCTGTGCTGCCGATGCTGTCAACACTTACCGGCTAGTAACGACTAGTACAACAACGGCTCATGCTGCATGGCAGCAACCGTTCTCTGCTTAGCAAAAGCACATCAACTTTAGCTTCCGTTCTAGATTCTCAGGTCTCAAAAAGCTCTGCATCCCGAGGTGTGGGCGCTTCGAGCTGAGCGGGTGCGAAGCATCGCAGCATATGGCCCCAAGGCCCACAGGCCAGCTGATTTGTCTAACTTGCTATGCTTCTGCATGCTCCTGCTGTGTGAACAGCCCTTCTTGGACTTTACTTGCCGTGGTCTGTTGTGGGTGCAGGCTGCTGAATGGGCTCAATGGCTGACGATTGCGGCGGGAACTGCAATCTCTGCGAAGACTGGCCCCGTGCACTGTTGGCTACGCCGCACTCGCCCTCTTTTGTGAGGCCTGCCGGAACCACGGGCAGTTTGCTTGACCTGGCGTCTGGGCAACGGCCAGAGGTCGGGCCCAGATGAACAAAACGTAGACTACCACTGAGTGGTCTCTCGAGCTGTCGGAAAATCATCTGCAAAGGATTTCAATGAGATCAGATGGACATTGTCCTGCTCCCCTACCCTTCTTCATCCGAGTATCTGCATTGGAGCAGCCACTGTTGTGCAGTACTCGCATTGCGCAACTATGCTTCGTGCCGCAAGGGCAACACTGATATCTCGAACACAGGGCATGTTCCATCCTTCATCGTTCTTTCGTGTTCGAAAAACTGCTGCAAAGGGAACTGACTGCAGCTCATAGCATTATTCCAGTTCGCAAGTAGTCTGCGACCTGTTGGCAGCTTGCCGGCCGGTCACGGAGGGCAACGAAGCTTCGACTTCCGACTATACTAGATGGATCTACCTCGCACAACGGCAGCTGCACAAGAGCTATGTCCCGACAGCGGTAGGCCATAGGCTCAGCGAGGCAGCGTGTTAAAAGCGCCCGTCCAGTGACGGCATTCGGGTGCCTGGAATTTCAAGGTCACTTCTGCTTTCAACTCGAAGCACAAGGGTACATTTGGAGCAGTCGACCCCTCGACCTCCTGTGGATCAGAAGACTTCAGCCAGATCCTTACCAATTCGCCAATGCAAGGCTTTGCTTTGAATCTGGGCCTTTCGAGGGTACGTCTGGTCAGCCTCACGCTCAGGACCACACCCAAACGCCAATGTCAGGATCCAAGTCAGAGTTCCACTTCTTCCATGTCCTCCAGATGCTCTCTGCACGCCGCGCCCAGAGGCTCAATAGCAGTCCATGATCATCATGATCCAGCTGTTTCGGGTGAGCACCATGGGTCACTCGACTCCAGACACTCTTCTTACGCCACTTCTGCGAACTTCACACCCTGACCATCCGAAGAAGCACTCCCCGCTGCCCAGGCAGCGACACTTATCCCCTACGGCCGGAGTCTTTCGTATCTCCCCATAGTCTTTCGACCGCACAGCCTGCGCAAGGTCAACACAATCGAAAGGGATCCAACTGCATCCAGCCGAGCGAGCGAGTCCACGGTGCCTTTTCAAACTCCTTCAGGTCTGCCTTCAGCTGGTTGACGATGGGTTCCTGCTCCCAGGAAACTTCGTGCTCCGAAGTGCAAGTGCGAAGGACTTCCGAGAAAACGTGGCGAGAGGACGTTGGGGTCAGTCTTGGACACGCGCTGGATGAGGCTATAGCCACTTGGCGAGAATGCGCATCAAAAACACTGATTCAAAGCCACATGAAGTCTTGGAATCACGCTTGTGCTTGGACTTTGCTGAGCTCCATGCTCCATTGCCGTACTCAACTTGGGAAGGTCCTTCAGAAACGGTGAAAAGCGACATGATGGGGCGGCTCTATGCCACTTGTACCCTGACGAAGAGAGAAACACGCCGCTGGCAAGGCCCCCGATCGCTCCTTCTTGATGAAGCGGTCGATGCCATCTTCAAACCTGGACCGCTTCACGTCCAGGACTTTGGGCCTGCAGCCCAAATCAGATGCGAAATGCAACCACTCGAAGGGCATTCGGGCCACTGTCTTCTCATGTGATTCTACATGGTAAAAATGCCTCGCTGCCTGAAGGACTCGGGCCCCGGCTGGAAGCCGTTGTTGATGGAATCCACAAGCGCCGTGCCATTGGCTCGCGTAATCCTGTCCAGGCTCAGGGCTGGGATGGGCTCTCGAGCTGATCTGCATCACAGACGTTGAGGGAGGAGCATGCAGCCGTCCAGATCTGGCTTGCCCTGGTCTCCTGATGCTCAACACTGACGAGCAAAACGGCAGAGCAGATACGGTGCAAGCCGGCACTTGAGGTACTTCCGACTGTTGGCGCTCTTGGGCTCAGACCCATCATGAGGGTCATACCCTTCTCTAGAGCTGCACTCGAAGCCTGCCATGCCGGATGCGGCATCACGCGAGCCTAACTGTTTCTCCCAGTCCATGACCGTGCTGCTTTCTCAAGCAAAGCTTGCCGGCAGCACGCCGCTGAGGGCGTCTCCGGCCTGGAGACACACAGTCGCATCGGCACGCACTTGCAATTGCTTAAATAAGGATGAAGATCATGCACTGCTCTCCAAACAACAAGGCCTCACATGCCTGATTTTCAAGACGTTGCCTGGTAGGACTGGATGCCCTTGCTAGCCACTCGCCCCGTCCTCAGACCGGGTGATATTGTCCAGGCTGAGATCACTTGCTGAACAAAATTGTGCGAGTCGCCTGTTCTGCTGCTCCAGGGGTGCCTTCGACATCTTCTCGTCATAGACGATGATGGCCTTAGCACCTCAGGCCAAAGGAGCGAGAGTCTCGTCGATGCAAGACATGGGCGAAGCACCTGCTGCCTTTGCCATCTGGGCCTGCCGAAAAAACATCGAGCGAAGGGCCGAAAGCGTCAGCGACGCGCCTTCTGCTCGAAGGTGCAGATCCCTCTGGCGACCAAAGCGATGCTGCCCCCCTCGCTTGGGCAGGGCCCCAAAGGCGACGACGCGACGAAAAAGTCTGGGCTTTTTTGCAAGGAGTCATGTGCTAGAAAATGCTGCTGCTCGGGGGCCTCCAGCTTGTAAGGCGTGCAGCCATACTTCGCGTCCATTTGGCCCACGACCTGAAATGTCCTCGGAACTGCGACTGTCGTTTTGAGGATGCCTCTGACTCTAGTACTTAGGTGCCTTCGACGGAGTCGAGTGCTAAGCAAGCTGCCCGTCAAACTTGTTGTCCACGCCGGAGAACCACTCGGCAGGCCGAGCCTCGTACTGCATCATGCTGAAACGCGCTGCTGTCGATTTCTTCGCAGGCGTTTTTTCGGAATCCTGGCTGGGCCGCATGCACGGAACTCCACCCGGCTGCCGGCCTTAAAGAATGGGAAAGAGAACCTCTGTCGGCCTTGGACGGTGGCTTTTGGATTTTAGACAAGGCCAAGGCTGCCAACTCCACTTGGAGTAGGAGGTCATCTCGGAGGCCTTGTAAAGCTCAAGCTCAGACGCCCTTGTAGAGCCGTGCAGTGGAGACCAACAAAGTCGCGGACCCTCCAGCTTCTGATAATACTTTCCTTAAGCAGGAGTGCATGTAGCACTGCACACTTTGGGCGCATGGCACTACCCACAAACAAAAGCACCCGCAAACAAGCAAATAAACGCACAAGCACACAAAAAGAGAAACAAGCAGCATCGGAATCTGACAGCCAGATAGCTAACTAGCTGGAACGAGCAAACTAAATATCTAACCCATTCACGAACTGGCGAGCTTGCTTACTGGCTCGAAAAAAGCTTCATAACTTGCTAGACAACTCTGCCCTTCAACTGGCTACGAAAGAACGGAAGAAGTAACAGCCAGCCAAGCAGTGCCACCATGACGAAGTTCCGCATGTATCTACACATACACTTGCATGTACATGCACGCATACATCTGGCTTCTTCGAGCACTTACGAAAATCCATGGGGCTATGCAGGTGCCTGGGCATGCATCGAAACACTCTAAATCACCGCGACCGGACTGTAGGTGCAGGCCAGCATCGAATCTTCGGAACAAGCTGCTGCTTGGCATTGAAAATGCGATCCACCCTGCAGAGAGCACAAAGCACGCGCCATGCGCTGCAAAATGGATGGGCTACTCGTACACGTACGGGGTTTTGCAAATGATTCGTTTGCAGCCTGCACACACATATACACATATACACATATACGTGCATGTGCATACACACTCACACATACATAATCACATGTATATACACATGCATGAAGACATACACATACACATGCACACACATAGACACTTAGACGCATAAACGTATCCACACATAGACGCATACACACATACACGCATACACACCTACACACATGCACGTACGCACGCACACACACACACACACCTACACATCTATCTACGTCTATGTCTATATCTAGATGTGATATATGGTATATGTTATATATATAGATACAGACATAAACACAGTTATACGTACCTGAATTTAACTACATATGCATGTGTGTGTATATATATACACATGATATTCATACCTACCCAGCGCCTACCTACCTACCTACCCACCTACCTATGTATGTATGTACGTAAGTATGCATGTACATGCATACCTGCCTACCTGCATGCATGCATCCATACATACATACATACATACATGCATACGTACATACATACGCACGTAGGTACGTACGCCCATGCATGCATGCCTATATGTGCATATATATATATATATATACATATTTCTATCTGTGTACATATCTGTCTTTCTATTTATCGATCTGTACATCTACCTATCTGGGTGCATACCAAAGATAAAGGCACCGATCACTGATGTTCGTTGAGATGTACATGCATATTCCAAGTATGTGTATGTACAGATGTATGCCAGGTATGTGTCAACAGCAATGGGTACTGAGTACATGACATAACATGCAAGCACATTGACATGTGAGAGCGATTGTACAGACAAGCAATGTATACGTGGATGTGCATGTGAGTACGTAAGCATGCGCCGAGAAGTATCCATACATGTGTGCATTTTTCCATGACTTGCAGGCCGACACGCATAAAGAATCTACGTCAAAGAAGCTCCAGGACAGCGGGGCCTGAAGGCTTCAGCCTCTTCCGGCATCAGCCACATTGCCGCAGTTGCTGCAGCAGCAGACTCCTCTCCAGCCAGCAAATTCGCTATGATGATGCGGCGTGATACAGCACTGATGTGAGGCGTGACGCCCCTGTGGGAGAGTGTCAATAATCAACCAGGTAAACACAACAGCTGCAGCAGCAACAACAACAACAACACAACCTCCAGCATCATCACCTTCAGTTGCAGCAGCAGCAGCAGGAGCATCATCACCATCATCATCACCATAGATCACCATCATCGACACTCTCGTCGTCAGTCATAAACGACAAGGCTGGTAATTGCAACAGGAACACCGTACGCCCAAAAACAAGACAACCACGCAGGAAGCATGCTCATAGAGAGGAAGCGGGAGTATATTGCATGTTGCTACTATGTTATATCGGTGTGACGATACAAATATGTTGTCGCACTGCAATGCCGCAAAGTAACTGTAGCGTAACACACTGAGATGCAAGAGAGAGGTGGAGGAAGGAGAACGAACCCCCCCTTCGCATGCAGAACCCCTTGTTGCCAACTCCCGGCCTGCAATACGCTGCGCCGTCCAGGTGAGGCCGTGTGCCTGTTGCCAAAAGCCGGTCATAATCCATCGCGAGTTCTGGGCTCTGAGACGCCGACTCAGGGTTGCTGGCCTTGCCTGAGTACTGGCAGGTAGGAGTATAGAACCTACTCATCTTACGGCACCGACGTCTCTGTACACGAAGGCCCTGGAAGTGAAAGCTGACCGAGCTGAGCTCGGGTCCGGCACCCAGCCAGGCCAATCCTGGAAGACGGTGCACGCTACAAATTAGAGTCAGAGTAGCTAAGTAGATTCCTGAACGGGCTTCTTGTAAGAGGCACAAAGTCACAAAGAAGCAAGGCGCTGCTGAGTGAATGCGTGCGCTCTCTTGCACTGTGTTTTGAGCATGGCTTTTGGTGAAATTAGGGTTCTCGTATAAGTGCCTTAACAGCTTTGGGATCCAGTACACTATGATATCAGCTGAAGGGGCATACCACATTATGGTACAGTATGCGTTGTGCAGAAGCTGGACCGGAAGCTGGAGGCTGCAGAGTAAGGCTCACGGGTGGGTCACATGCTCTCTCCCGTGAGCCTCTGTGACAGAGGGCCGCGATGACTAAGAACGCACATGAGGCGGCCTCAGCGGCACCAAGTAAAAGAGCAGCTGTAAACGCAGGGAAGGCATTGCGGCTTATGTCTAGCTCCGTCGAGAAACAAACTCTAAGCGCCTTTTCAATCTCCTTGCAAGCAGCATCTCGTTCTGGTCAGAACAACCCGAGCCCGCAATCGTCGCCACGCCAAGACGAAGCCGAAGCCGACGCCGATTCCTCCGATGGCGTGCTCGTGGCTTGCGACGTTTTGCCAATCCTCGACTGCAGGGCCGTACAGCGACAGGAGCGTCGGCAAAACCAGGTGCTAAATATTGTGAAGTCTCTGAACCTTGATTAGGGCGGGGCGCTCGACCTCTCATCCCTGAACCTCCTACGAGCGTCATCATCATGATCATCTTTTGCCCACTCTTTGCAAAGCGTAGGGGATGCTGAAGCTTGCTGCGGGATTCATCGCTTTCTCTCTTTCCCGCCCTCGTTCCACAGCCTTGATGCTCTGATGTGCTCTGCTTTCTGGGTCGATCCTTAGTTGGGGATGCCCGCACTGAAGCTCAAGGTGAAACACGACGTGAAGCGCTTGCCTCCAGGTTCGAACTCAAGTTCAAGCCTGGGTTTGAAACCTGGTGTTTCAACCCCTCTGCGGCTGAAATGGCTATGCAAACCCGGCTCTCAGACCCAGGTCTTGGAACCAAAGTTTTACCCAACTTTGATAACCTAAATTTAAATGGCTAGATCTCAGGGCTGAGGGTTCGCGGGCTCTGTGGTGTGACCCTCGACAACTCCAGAACTACAGGTTACACTCGAAAAGCAGCCAGGAAGCAGATTCCGGAATCTGGCACACATCTCTGTGGAACAATGCGGATGGCCTTATTCGCCTCAGCTGCATGCGGATCAGCTAGGTTTCAGGCTTCGGATCAGGAATTTCGGGTGTTGAGGTCACCGGAAGTAAAGCTTACAATGTGTGAGTCATCTCCAGGCCGCCCTACATAATGCAACAAAGGCTCCTGATTCTGATTCTTTACATCATTCCACGTTCGTTACATGCGGTGGCTTCGGCATGTGGGCATATCTCGTTTGCAACGATCAAAACCACTAAATTGAAGTCTATCCCCGTGCAACAAACTCATTGTTTATATTTGACATGCAGCCTCCCAACACCAAATGCCCAAACTCCCAACCATCCCAGAAGCTGAACCAGAAAGCTGTGCTAAAGCCAAAACCTGAAAGACTTGCTGGCAAAGCCTACTCTGAACCGTCAACTTTTAACCCCAAACCCAAAGCCCCTAAGCCTCCAACATCCTCCAACAGCAAAAAAACACGTCTTAAGACTCCACCGGTTAATGGTTGTCCAAGTTGCGAAGTGCTCACCTGATTTGCAAGTTGTTGCCATCCAGTTGACAATGTAGGCACTGCCTCGTATATATCCGAGTGGCTGAGCATAAACCCTGTTCTGATGCTGTCCGAGCTGTGGAGAAAGGCGGGCACGAAGCTCGGCCCCAGCCGTGCATGATACGGAACAACTGAACCCGGAGGGAGGTGGTCCTTCAAGCCGTTCACACCGAACTCCTGCTGTCGGCGAAGCAGGATGGGGTTTCCAGGGCCCTTTGCCGCCGGAACAGAAGTGGTTGCCATCCATGGCGCTGCCGCAGCACATCAACCCTCTCCGACTTCTCACGACGAAGGGTTCGGATTTATCGATGTGCCGTTTGATGCTAGTCCATGGTGTCCAAGGGATCGATGCCCAACGGCTCCCAGTGGGTGAGGCCGGTGTCGTGGGAGTCGGTGTCGTGGGTGTCTTCTTTCAGCCCAAGCCGCATCAAGAGCTCCTCGAGGGCTACGGCCGCCTCGGTCGCCGGAGAACCCAGAGCTTCGTGCGCTGCCAACTCCTTCCGCAGCAAGAAGCAGCGCTTCAGGTGGAAGGGGCCGTAGCGCTCCAGGCAGCGAGCCTGGAGCTCCTTCGCCATCTGCAGAACCGTCGAAAAGTCTTCGGCCAACTCAGCCGTGGACAGGGCGAGGCTCTGCAGCTCCTGCAGGGATCGTGAGAGTGAGGAGAGGCGAAGCCCAAGCGCCTTTCTTTCTGGCCTGCAGGATCACGGCTTCCCGATGAACCGCCGGCAGCAGCTTGGCCAGCGAGCCTCCAAGAGCAAGACAAGAGGCGCAAAGAGGCGAATCTCTCGACAGAAACATTCCTTCGACGGGGCCTTGGATGATCCGAAGGTTGCTGCGAGCGCTGCTTTTGTCCAGTGGCTCCAACTTGGCTAAGCCCTTCAGGGCCAAAGCGACGGCGGCATCTGCCGGCGTGCTGGCAAAGGGTACCTTCAGGGCCTTGAAGACCTGGAGCATCTTCGCAGCTTCCGCCTCCTCTGGAAGCGACCTCTCGAAGAGAGACCGGAGGAGCTGCCCCTTCGGATCGCTGACGGACTCAAGCTGCTTCAGGAGCCCGCTGGGAGTCAGATCTTTCATGCATTTCGCACATTTGCAGCTGAACCAGTGCGAGGCTTGGAGGTTTCTTCGTCGCTCCCAAACAGGCCGAGCCAAGTCACCGTAGGAGATGCAAAGGCTCTCCCCCGCCTCAACATCGCGCACACATTGGAGCTCCAAGCTCGGGCGCGCTCCCTCTCGGAACCGGAAGAGGAATTGGCACGTGGGAGCACAGTCGTGGTTGGCGAGGGAGCCCTCTGCGAACAGTGCAGAACCTACCGACTCGAAGCAGGAGTGTTCAACCACTCCTGTCATGTTGCATTGCATCTGCATGAGGACCCCGATGACCAGCTCTTGGCTCGCCTTTGCAGATTCAATCATTCATGATAGTCAAAGCTCAAGGAAACGGCGACGGGCAACCCGCCCGCCTGGTGCAGTCGAGCATGCCGGAACTTGTCGGGAAGCAGTTGCGGCACCTCTGCTGCAACCTCCAGCAGGCTCTTGGCGATGGCCACCTTGTCTGAGCGGAGGAAGAGGAACTGCAAGGACCAGCTGCTCCACATCCTGCTAAGGCTGCCACGGGGATCGCCAGCGCCGGGGCTTGGAGCATGGCCTGTAAGGCTTTGGGCCGACCCAGCAACGGCGACGCCAGGCTGGCGGCCAGAGACTCCGGGGGATGCCTCAGTCAGAAAACCCTCGGAGAGTTTCTGACGCTTCCAATATGCTTACCATGTCTTGCTGCCTGTTGCGAGCTCAAAGGGTAGATGAAGAACGTGGATATCGCGATTGACGTACACCACTCTAGATTCCGAGGTCCTAGATCAAATATGAACAAATCATCGAGCCGCCCTGCACGCAGCAGCCGAGCCGATAGCAGCGCGTCAAGGAGGGCATCCCCGCGATGCCAGACATGGCTCCCACAGGCGGACCTGGAGGCGTGCAGGGAAGAAAGGGGAGCGGCTTTCATGTGCAGCAGTTTGCAGCTCAAACCTGCTATAGACGAGACAGCACATGCAAAGAACCCAGGAAATCCAGGTGCAACGAGGCTCGGCAAGCAGGCTGAGATAGGCTGAGGATGGAGCAGCTTCTTGACAAGGAGCGGAATTGCAGCGCATTCCTTGACTATTGCGATGCAGTGGAGACGGTCAGCACGCAGTCACCAGCAAGCAGCTATCACAACTGCGAAGAGCACTGTGCGGACTGAACGGCCCGTGAGTGGTCGGGGGCATCTGCTTGACGGCACACATCGCTGCAATAGCCGAAGCATGCCTTGCGGGGCTTGCTTTGCAGGAGACTTGAAAACGTGGGCTGAGAAGTAAGGTTGTGAGAAGATCATTGGTGGTGTCATTGCCCATTGACCGCCCTCGCTTGCGCTGGTGCATTGCTCCTGTTCCTGTTCTCCTCATCGAGACTCCAAATCACATCCACCCATCCATCCATCCCTTGATTCGCCCATTCATTCGCTCACGCACTTGTACGCTCCTATGCCTATATAACATAAATACAAACAGACAGACGGTAGAGCGGACCACCCTCTTGCGGCTGTAGACTTATAGCCACCAATCCGGACACGTCACACAGCCAGCACAGGGCTGAAGCGGCAAGCGCCGCAGGCACAAGGCACAGCATTGCGCGGCGCTTGTCAGAGACACCAAACCCACCAGAGCCTCGGACACCAAAGCCACCTGCCAAGGGGGCGAGGAGCGCTAGGGCCGCTAGGGTTCATAGCTCTTCGGCCCTTGAGTCGAAACCCGTGTTCACAGAAGTCATGGTCAAAAGCCAAGGGTGCACTTCTCGAGAACTGAAATCTCAAGTCTGAGGGTTGAGGCTCGAAATCTGGCTGTTGCTTCGGCTTCGGAGCTGGGAGTTGGGTTGAAGTGGTGGGCCGAGAACTGAACCAATCAAAGCCCTTAAAGCTCCTCAGAGCTTCCTCAGAACTTCGCCCAGCCCCAAAACCCTAAACTGCAATCTCCCCAAACACCCCAAAACACCAGGTTTAGGGGTTTAGGGGGTTTAGGGGGTTTAGGGTTGAGGGTTTAGGGAACTAACGAGACTGTGTGACCTCGCCGCTCCGAAGTGCACGCAGGGCTCGCAGCGCACGGCCTTCGCCGGGGCGCTCGACGACTTCCGCAGCTCCGAGGCAACGACCGACCGCCACAGTCATGGCACTTTCCGTCTAGGGCTGAGGTAGTCTAGGGTTTAGAGTTTAGAGGTCGGAGTTGGGGGCTTAGGCTGTTGGTGTGGGGTTTAGTTTCGGATTTGGGGTACATGGGGCTTTGGGCTTCAGAGTTCATCCCCTGATCATTTCTGACGAGGCTCACAAAGCCACCCCACGAATCGCACTGCGGAGCACGATTGCATCACACCGAAAATATGACCTGTTAGGCTACGGGAGAAGACTACAGCGCTGCACCGGCTTCGGAAGGAGAAAGACTACTCTGCATCTGCTGAGTCATGCTCACGGTATGCCGGGTCGATGCTCCCTAGCCGAACCCTCAGCGGATACACTGAACTACCCTTGATGAGGGAGCCGGGGCAGCAGCCAAGAGGCCACGTCGCCGCCGACTCACGACCTGGAGGCACGGTTTCTGCTGTGAGGGAATGCGGGTCGCGGATTTGTGTTTGGGCACCAGTACTTGCAGCACCACAAAAAAGTGAGTGGAGGCCATTTTTCAAAGGGTCTTGAGCTGAGTCCAGGACCATTTCGTCAGGCTTTTGAAGTGACACCTCCTTGAAGTAATTTCGAGGGAGGCACAGCAAATCAAAGCAGTAGCACCTCGGGCTATGTTAGAGAGGCTGCTGTCGCTGTGCTGCTGGAACTGTAGCTGCAGTGGAGCTGAAGATTTCCTTGCGGCATCCTCGATGTAGGAAACGATCCGTCAAACAGCTGCGAGCGGAGCGGCCTAACACGCTGCATGAGACTCAGGGTCCACCGTGGGAGGGAAGACCAGACCCAGGTCAAAAAGCACGATTTGAGTCGCGAGATGCTACCGGCCTGCATGGGCCTGAGCGCCCGCTCAGCCAACCGACTTCAAACAATTCACAGCTTGATGGGCACTCGAGCAGCCAGATCGACGTCTTCGCACGAGCTGAGAAAGGTGCATCGGAAAAGATTAGAGGACTGTTTCTCTGTCAAAGAGATCATGAGTTGCACCCATGCGAAGCTTGTCAAGGCACACGACGGCTCGGGCAACGGCTTCCGAGCAGTCGCGGCAGTGTGTAAGTTGGAACTCTCATTCCTTGGCACCCTCACTCTGGCCGAACTGTGGAAGCGTAAGTCCGCCAGACCCGAAAGTAATCTCAAGCTCCTGGTGCACGGAACTGGCATCACAGATTCTAACAGCGATCGAAGTCTCGTCCTCATCAACCATGCGCTCAGGTGGATGCAGGCCACGCGGCCTGTAGCAGCATCAGACTACAGGCAAACGCAAACCGACCATGTCATCCAAGCTCAGCAAGCCAGCTCTTTTTTCCTTTGTGCTCAACGGCTTCTCAGGCCCGGAACAACTCGGCTCACCTGCCCCGGGCCAAGAACGCTCAACATGGGCTGACAACTCCTATCGTGTCCAGGTCACAAGGCAAGAACGGCTGCAACACTTCAGTACCTCGCCTGCTGCAGCACAGCCTCCGCATCGCAAAGCACTGGCCGCCCGAGCGCCTCCGGTGCCTGCTTCGGCTTCGGAACAGGACGAATCGAAAAGAAAAGACGCGTCAATGTCGCGCCTCCACTGGCGGCCGCCCGGCAGATTCGAAGGCAGCGACCAGGGCCTCGACCGCAGCCCTGGCGCAACGTCGCTCCGACCCGACTGAAATCACGGGACGCGTATCTGGCACCTTTGCTGCGATCGTGGTGACATCGCCGTGCTGTCTTCCAATTGCACCCCCTGCGCTTGCCGCCACTACCCGGCACTACCCCATGCTCATGCAGAGGCTCTCGTGCCTTCCGTCTGGCCAGCAGACGCCAGTTCAGAATGGAGAGCTGGTTGCCAAGCCACAAGACCCACTCATGGAAGAACAGGGGCTCCTCTCAAGTGGGAGAAACCAGAGCTGCGGTGCAGTTCAGTCTCGAACGAGGACTTTGAACTCTTACAAATTTGCTCCCGCATCTCTTCTGCTCGAGGAAAGCCGGCCCACGCCACGAAGCCACGATGGTAGACGTCCGTGACCTTTCATGGCAGATGCCCTATGTCCCAGCCACGAAAGACCTGCAAGTCGCGAAGAGGAGAGTTCATCCGCTGTCTTCCGTCTCAGCCGAGCGACCTCGGAGCCGCTCAAGGATTTGATGCTGCGCTCCCCGGAAGAAGCCGGCGCCTCGAAGAAAAAAGCGTGGCATCCGAATCCCGGCCCTGACTGAGATGCGACCGCGCCTGCTCGGCCTGCTCGGCCTGCTCGGCCTCTTGCTGTGCGTCGTCGAGACCTGGAGCAGGTGAACGGAAGCTTCGACATAAAACTGCTTCAGAAGCTATTTTTTTGCTCTAAGGACGAAGTACCCACATGCGAGCCTTCAGACTGCCGAAGCCGCAGGTTTGCACGGGCCTCCGCAACCTTCGCAACATCCTCCACCCACCTTAGGACCCAAAGAAAGCGTCAAGAAAGCTGCAAGCTCAATGTGAGATGTGTCGCCAAGCAACTGCTCTACAACCCGCAGCGACAGCGGGGAGCAGCGGTCCAAAATGCCGCCGCGGCGGATGACCTGCGAGTGCTCCAACTGGAAAAAGGTGAGGCGTTTTCTCTCACAGCTAACTTCTTGTAGTGATATTTTTCCATCAGGTCCAAGAGTCTGAGGCTGGGAACGGACAAGCAAGGCGGGTTTTCGTGTTCTGCACTTCTTGGGATTAACGAAGATGACCTGGGACCTCGCCTCTAGGAGCTCATCGGCGTCTGCACCCAGCTCCGCAGCTGCAGTGAGCGCCATCTGCACGGAATTCTTGCAGACGATAGGTAAGGGCGTGCTCGGGTCTGAGGTGCAACACGTCAATGGATCAAGATACTCATGGGGCCAACTCTTTCCCTTTGGACTTGGGCTCATGAAATTAGGACTGCAAGTAGCCCCTTTGCAGTTCAGCACCAGGGCCTCCTCAGCAGCATCACCTCAGCACCATAGTAGGTGTGCTCAAACAAAGCTGCAAGAAGGAAGCGTCTGAAGCGCACCCGGCGAAAGCTCGAGGATGACCACGGAGTCCCGCAGTGCGGCTTTAAAGTCCCTGGCACAGGAGCTGGCCAAACCTAGGGCTTCAGCCCTTGAAATTCTTGGCATCCTGACCACATCCCCTCACTTTCGAGCACAAGTCCGCTAAAGTCATGAAGTTGTCCAGGAACTTCCCCTACCCCAACAGACAAAAACAGCCGGGGGAATCCAAAACCTCTGGCGCACTCAGTAAGGCCTCAGCGCCAGGGCAGCCCTGGCCCTGCAGCGGAGGAGGGCAACCGCACGCGCCTGGCCCGGGTGACGTTGCCGGGCTGGGTTAAGAGGGGCCGGGAGCAGCTGTTCAGTTTTATTGATATGACTATTATGACGATTATCATTACTGTTGTTATAAGTATTCTTATTCTTATCATGATTGTTCTTATCGTTAATACTAGTACTATGATTAGGATTTTGATGATGATGATGATGATGATGATGATGATGAAGCATCTCGGCCCGAGCCTT